GCAGTAGTTGTAGTAGTAGTTGTAGTAGTAGTAGTAGTAGTAGTAGTAGCAGCAATAGTGGTAGTAGTAGTAGTAGCAGCAGCAGCAGTAGTAGTAGTAGTAGTAGTATGGTTGTGGGTCTCCGGCATTGTGAGGCCCGCCTGGCCGCTTCTCTTGGGGCGCGGAGGCTTTGTTGTGCATTCCGCCTGTCGGCGTCCTTTCTTTCACGATTCGGGATGTGTAATGCTCCAAGCATGAAAGCTTGAGGTTCTGATTCTGATCGTGCTTACGGTTTTACTGAGTTTGTTCATTGGTGGTGCGCCGTGGGCAGATCAGTACTTTCAGGGTGGTGTGGTGGATTTCGAATGAGGCTCAGCTGACAGAGAAGCGGCACATTGACATTTGCTTCCGGTCTGCGGTAAGGTGAGAGGAATGCTCGGAAGATGGCAGACATGAAACCGAGGCCAGTTTCGGCATCACCTCAGGTACCTAGAAAGACTACTGAAGCAAGCTTTCCTGGATGCATTGAAAGACTAGTGTCAGAGCCCTGTGCCTTGCTAAAGCATCTGAACCTTAAGCCATCACCACAGGAACTCACGTTACCGCCTCCGCTATTGCCAGCAGAATCATCACGACGATCCTTGCCACTGTGGTTATCATCATCCTGATAATTCCGCTTAGAATGCTTTAGAACTATACGTCAACACCCATCCCATAATTAGCCATAGTCAGGAAGGCAGCAGCAGAAGTACCAAGTCAGTTCACAGTTCAGCGGGACCCTGGTTGAAGTGGCCTTTGCTCAACCGACTGAAGCCGTTGTAGCATTTATCGGACCCATCTCTTCAACGACCATGTGAAGAAGCAGTTACCTGCAGCGTGAAAGGACACGCCCGCCATGGCAGCAAAGCGTCGCGAGTGCGGCGCCCGATGCTGGGATACAGCTGTTTCTCGAGGAACCTCTTCTTCAGTGAAGAGGTCCTCGGGTCCGCGATCAATTTGGGCGCTACTTCTCAATATGTTCGCAGGTAGGTACCGGCTTCAAGCCCCCATGACTCCAAAATGCTCACGACACTGGCAACAAAGCACGATTGGCATCTTAGAACGCCTACGCGCTACAAATCCTATCAACCTTATATAGACCACAAAAACCTTCTAAATCCTTCAACCCCTACATACTATAGACCCTACAAACCCAAAGCCCGAAATCCCTTAAGAACGTCGAATGCCGCGAGGTCGCTCCAGGAGTCCTTGGCCACGGGCCAGCGATGCCTTTGGATGATGCCTGGGACCTGGGAATCGGGGTGGGTTTGGGGTTCTTCAGGGCTCCCTTGAAGGATTCTATAAGGTTTCAAGAACTTATGGTTCCTTGTCAGGGTTCTATGAGGTTTCTATGTGAATTTAGGGATCCCTTTAAGGGTCTATAAGGTTTCAAGAAGAATTTAGGGTTTTGACCCCGATGTTGCAAGCCAGTTGCAGAAAGGGAATCGGGGTCTTTATTTTGGGGGTTTAGGGTTTAGGGGTTTTGGGGTTAGGGTCTTGAAACCCCGAAACAGCCCTGACACAAAAGCAGTGAACACCCTTACCTGAGTTGAAAGGAATACCAAAACCTAAAGCAAAAAGTAACGACAACAGAGCCTGACACCCCAGAAGCCCATCCAGAACTGAACATTAAGCCTTCAGAACCTAAAGACCCTGAACCCCAAACTCACGAAACCCTGAACTCCTGAACCCATAAACGTACTCTCCTGACCCGAACCGTTTAGGGGGCTGGCTTGATGCATGCTTTAGTTTGTGTTTTCAATGTATGATCAGGCCCCGGCACAGACGTCGGAGTTCTTAGGGGGGGGGGGGGCTAGAGTCGTGGATGATAGGGCTGATAGGGACGGCGGAGTCCCGGAAGTGATGGGCGGTGCTCGACAGTGCTGCTGGAAGTGCATTTCCAGAATCTTATGCTCCCACATGTCTTCAGTTGGATTTGGGCGAAGTTTGCTGTCGGTTCGGCAGGTTAGCATTGTGGCTGAAGCTTTCGGGCTCTGGTGGAAGACTTGTTGAGGAAGTCGGGCATTTGTTTACCATTGCGATCTCGTGTGCGGTTGTACGACACGGCATAGACTGATGTGTTCAGGTACTGCAAACTGTTGAGCTTCCTTCGAATTTTTTTTAAACCACACCCTAAACCCTAAACCCTAAACCGAAGAAGCTGAAAGACGTCGCTCACTGAAGGTATCGCCTTTGTGATGCAGCGAGCTCAGGGTCAGGGGGTTCTGTTGTCCGTCGCCAGTGCCCCAAAGGGTCCAAGTAGTAATATGGTAGCTACTTTGTGGGTATTTGGGCCCCCAAAGTATATGCAATACTATAACTTGGACCCTTTGGGTAGGTATTTGGGCCCCCAAAGTCTATGCTATACTATAACTTGGACCCTTTGGGTGCAGTACATCGCGAAGCCTGGTAGATAAGCAGGGCCAGGCCCGACCACGGGCTGGAGCTTCGATGTCGGTGTCCACTAAATCCGAGGCCAAGGCATCCGCGAAGCCCGCGACGTTGCAGGCGCGATTTGGCAGTTGATGGGTTTAGGGTTTAGGGTTTAGGATGAGATTGCTTGCGGCTGTGAGAGAGCACAGATTTCCAAACAGCTTTTGGGTCTCAGAAGGTACGAGTTCGCTTGAGAACGCGAGAGAGCGACAGAGAGAGACTCCGGCATTCGAAACGGCCCCCAATAGCTCCCAAACCCCAAATCCCCTTTAAAGCGACGGCTGCTATGTCGTGTTCCGCCGCAACTGCCTTGTGCAGACCACTAGCAGCCGTTCAGCAATCGCAACTTGTAGCTCGAGCTCGGTTTGGAAACATGTTCTTGATCAGCACCCGCAGTCGAAGGATTGCATCTTTATCGCAGGAAAAAGGTTTGATTGTGCCTGGGTTTGGATTGTGAGCTTCCAACTTGTGGTGACATGGCCAGTCCGAAGCCTGAGTGGGTGAAGTCTAGTTGCGCAGATCGGGCTTCGCCTGCAATCCTAGAATCCAATCCCTGCTCCCCTAAAGCCCGGAAGCCCTACAACAGCCCCAGGACCGAAATGCGACACCCGCTAGAGCCTTGAAGAGTTGTAAGCGTTGCTTGCAGTACTGAAAACAGGCCCAAAGCGCCCAAAAAGCATGGTAGATACTTTTGGGGCTCAAATATCTACTGAGTAGCTGCTATGCAATTATGGTAGTAGTATAGTTACTTTTGGGGCCCGAATATCTACCAAGTACCTTCTACATTGGTACTTGGACCCTTTGGGACACAGGGCGCCTTAGCGGCGCTGATGACGGCGCAGCTTGGGCCGATTGCAGCGGTCCCAGGTCTTGAGAGACCCAAAGGGTCCAAGTGATAGTATTGGGTTTAGGGTTTAGGGTTTAGGGTTTAGGGTTTAGGGTTTAGGGTATAGGTATATAGTATAGCATATACTTTGGTGGCCCAAATACCTACCCAAAGGGTCCAAGTTATAATATAGCATATACTTTGGGGGCCCAAATACCTACAAAGTAGCTACCATATTACTACTTGGACCCTTTGGGAGAGGCTTTTGCAATCCTGCTCCACGTTTGCAAATGTTTGCAGTACAGCAGATGATCGCAGCTTGTCGTATATTAAATATCGTATGTTGATTCTCTTATTGTAATTAGCATAAGTCTCCTTAGCCTCGAGGTTTCGGTTTAGGGGTTTGGGTGCAAGCAATGCAGGCTGCATGCAAGAAAGGTTTTTTTATTTCGGACTTTATGGAGACAGACTTGATCTTTTGGACCTTTAGACCTGCAGTCTTTCAGCGATTTATGGTACAGGGGTCGTCAATCGTGGCGGCTGTTGTAAAGGTTTCCCTTTTAGGAAACGGATTGAAGCCCTGTGTGGGAGAACCCCGGTGAGGTGTCCGTCTTCAAGGTGAAAGTTTATGGGATCACTTTCGAACAGTCTTAGGTGGTCTTCTCGAGCAAGCGGCAGTGAAGGTTAGGGGTTTGGGACGCTTGATACCCAATGAACCGAAAGCAGATTCTCTGGGTAATATGGGCACTCTCTGCGAACTTAGAAAGAGCAAAACGACTAAGTACAGCATTAGTTTCGATAGATGTAGCAAACGCAAGCATAATAGCGGCAATAGGTAGTTGTAGTTTAATAGGGTTAATGGTAGTAGTTGTAGCAGTAGTCGTCGTCGTCGCCGTAGTCGTATTTGTATTCGTAGTTGCAGTCGTCGTGGCAGCAGTCGTCGTCGCAGTAGCCATGGTGATGGTGGTGGCGGTGGTGGTGGTGGTAACGGTAGTAGGCACAGCAGAAGAAGCAGCAGTAGTAGCAGTCGTCGTCGTTGTCGTCGTAGTATAGTTGCAGCAGAAACAGAATATATTGGTAATGCTTAAACTTTCTTTACCGGACGCTTTGCCCCGAACACCTTGCTCTGAGAGGTTCTCGAGCATCGCCTACGCATCCCGGTCTATGATCCCACAAGCGCCGTGCGCAGGCAGGTTTAGCGTGCTCGGGACGTTTAGGGTTTTTAAGGGTTTGCGGTGCACCCTGCGCCCAGAATACCTCATTAAATGGGAAGTCAGCCAATTGAACCGTAAAAGGCTGCTGACATGACGGGCTGTCTAAGCCCTCGTCGAAGGCAAGGCTTGCGTGATCTTTCCACATCTACAAGTGTCAATGCTGAAACAGCTCGAAGTGTTAAGACGGCGCATACATTCAGAAAATGGCCCGTTCACCACGAAGCATGTGTGTCCAAGCAACTTACACACTTCCCTTTGTGTATTTTGACAGATCCGAGCCCAGGAGGTTACTACGAGTAGTCCCGATTCGCTGCATGCCGCAGAAGTAGAGGCCTACGGTGGCCAGGGCCGCGCGTACACATCTTGTCGCATGCTCTTTGAGATGACGAATCATCCTCCGAGTTTGAGGCCTGTGCTTAACGGCAGACTACCGAGGAAAGCCTCGCAGAATCTGCACCAACTCCATAAACGCGCAGGGGAACGAGCACTTGGGACACAGCACTGCCTTCGACGTCAGGCCTAGCCAGGAGATAGACCCGCCCGGTGGCTTAGTACGAGGGGAGAAAGCTTGCAGCATTGATCTCCTCAGTATGCTTCGAAAGCCTTTACTTACATTCAGGGTTTAGGGTTTAGGCTATTTATAGGTTCGGTGTTTTGGGCCGACGGGGCGAGACGGGAAGAGCATCTCGCTATTAGGGAGAGTGGAGCAGTGACACCCTTCAGCGCAAGACCCTAACTCGCCCATCCAGGATCTACAAAGTTTCAAGGCACAAAGACTGTATGGAAAGCATAGAGTATCAATCGCGGCTTCCTGGACCAATATGATGTTAATTCGCGGATGATTGTGGAAAACGGGATGTATTGCACGTACAAGCCAAGCAAAGCTCCAGACGCCGCACGACTCTTTCGGTTTGGGCTGGGTCGCTAGGTCCGAGGTCTCTGTCGTTGTTGCGCCGTAGTCGGTCGTATGACTAGTGATTGTCTCATGGACCGAGTGGCAGTGGCGAAAACTACAAAGTAACAAGCACAAGTATTCAACTAGCCGTAAGAACTCGTAGAACTGATCTTGTAGAAACATACGGAAACAGAGTCCCTTGTAGAAACCACACGCACCCTTGTCATTTGTAGAAGACCACACAGAATCCGGTGGCTGAGGTCTGGATTCATGGCTGAGCGACGTTCTCCAGGCCCGATATAGCCCAAAAGCAGCTGGAAGTCTTAGCTATAGAGTCCTATAATCATTGCGCGGTTGAGTGGATTGCACTGTGTCTCAACATGAAGTATATCCAAGGTGCCCCAGAAGTAGGGAGGCCCTTTTTCCGAGAGCATCCGCGGTCATTGAACTTAAAGATCTCCGCCCCCTTCCCTCTCGATAGTCCGAGCCCGTCATTCAACGCCGCGCCCTTTCTCTGTTCAGGCGAGCACTACCCCATTTCAGGCCGTTTCATGAGACGAATCCCTCCCTCGCTCCGTTCCGTCCCTGCCACCCTTAACTCCAGGCTTTTCAGAGGAGTCGGGTCGCATTCTCGGAGATTTGGCCCGCACCCCGGCTGCTGCAACGGAGCGAAGTGACAGAAGGAGTAGGGTTTGGCGTGGCGTCTTCATGGGCATATCATTAGGCGAAGAGTTCGGCAGCAATTGTTTGAAATCTGGTTGCATAAGCAGAATCTTCGAACTACTCTACATTTCCTGATCCTCTCGGAGAGTTGTGGTGGGGCACTTCCGAGTAGTAAGTCCGATAAGCTGTGCTCGACCACTCGGCGCCTGGGGTACGATTGCCTCCGGGAGAGGGCTCGGTGTGTTGCAGGGAGGTACCAGTGCTTTGGGATGATTCTATACGTTGCCATGGATTTTCAAGTCCAGAAGCACCGGGGCCGACATAACTCCAACCAGATTTTGCGATCCATTCAGCAGTTTGAATTGTCGGTCTGATGCTATCTTTGCAGTGTGTGGCTGAGGACTCCACGACCGGCAGCAATGATGATGCCAGCGTTGACTCCAGTTCGCACAGGGCCCGGCACAAGCAGTCCCAGCAGCCTTGCATGCGAGATGATCCCTGGTGTTGAGGGTTGCTAGCTGCCCCCCGTCGTCGTCGTCGTCGGCGGCGTCTCTGTAGTAGTAGCTTTGGTGTTGGCTTGAGTTTTGGTGGCGGTAGTAGAAGTAGTCGAACTAGAAGTAGACGAAGTAGAAGTTGAAGTAGACGTAGAAGTTAAATCAGCAGGATTAGCAGTAGTAGTAGAAGTACTAGTAGTAGTAGTAGTAGTCGTCGTCGTCGTCGTCGTCGTCGTCGTAGTCGTAGTCGTAGTCGTATTCGTAGTCGCAGTAGTAGTCGTAGTCGTAGTCGCAGTAGTCGTAGTCGTAGTCGTAGTCGTAGTCGTAGTCGTAGTCGTAGTCGTAGTCGTAGTCTTAGTCGTAGTCGTAGTTGTAGTAGTAGTCGTCGTCGTCGTCGTACTAGTAGTAGTACTAGTACTAGTACTAGTACTAGTGCTAGTACTAGTACTACTACAACAACAACAACTACTACTACTACTACCACCACCACTCCTACATTGAGTCGGGAGTCGAAAACCGCTAATGTTCCA